TTCTTTTGCATGCTTTTCAAATGATCTTAGTGACTGAGCAGTTCTAGTTTTGTTACTAAGACTATTCCACGATTTTGCTGCCCTATAAAAGAAACTACGCTGGGCAGCCGCTGTCCAGATTGAAAGTCCAAGATCTTTATAAAAACCAACCCAACCTACCTGACCGATCAAAACAAAGGAAAATGATATTTAAAGTGCGGCTTAAAGGTTGTCAATTGATGTAGGAGCCCACTGGACCACTGGAGCCCATTTTGGCTTCCACACATCGAGACAGTGGTGTATTGGGACAGCGGTCTCGTTTACATCGGGAACCCTGAGAGCGTAGAAAAAGCGGGAAAATAGGGGATGTATCTTGTATCTTGTTTGTAACAATTTAAAAGAATTTATCGAAAATATCGATCAAAATCGAAGATTTTTTCATTTACCGCGACTGAGATTTCCAGGGAGTATGTGATTTATTTAAGACGCACTTCTGTGCTCTAAAATAATAATAAAAAATAAAAAATAAACAGTTTTTAATTTGGAGAAACACTTAGCTATAGTTAGAAGCTAGTTTACAGGTTTTCCACCAAACAACTGATACAATTAATTCAAATTGAAAATAACATTATTATTAAGAATCACAACTGGCCGAAGGCAAACCAGTTGGCTATATTACAAGCATGGCCGAGGATTTGAAACTCGGGGGCTACCGTGAACAAATCCAGGTAGTGGCCGGGGTTAGGGCGTGACTAGACTTGAACCCGGAGCGGTGGATCGCAAGTCCGACACGCTGACCACTCGACCACGCTGCCTTCAGCTTCATATACGGATTGAAATCCTTTTGCACACATCTTCGCAGGATGGTCAGACCTATGTTATTCGCATGAGCTTCCACCACAATGGAAAGGGACTACTACGTTTCCGAATGAAAACGCCGTTTCAAAATTTCGTCAGCCTGGCGTGATTGGGTCAAGGTCTCATGCCAAACATTATCCCTGTTAATCACTGAAAGAGGTGGACATTGAGAGGTACCCAATACCGCAATACCGTGCGAAAAAATGGCAAATACTGAAATAGCGCGTCGCAAATCGGACTTAATACCGATACCCCATATTTTAATTACATTTATAATCGGTTCCGCATGCTTATGGTTGCTTCCATCTAGCCCGTTGAATTATCTCCGGCATTTATCCACAAAGATGTTTTTTTTCTTTTTTTAATATTTTGATAGTTTGCAAATTTTCACTGAAAAGTAAACTTCATTCAGTCAACCCTTTGGTAGGAGTATACAAAACGGAAAACATGAAGAGAGGTGTGATCCCTAATACAGTCCTAATAGTGAATAACAATTCTCTTACCTTAAAACGGTTTTCTTAAGGGCATTTGCATGATTGCGTCATTGTTACTACAACCGGTTTAGACCGTTCACAGTTCCCTATTTTTCCGTGAGACCGTCGGGATGGAAGACTTTGCGTTACCTCCTAAAATCTCCGACACCTGCTCCCTCGGTACGTATGAAACCAAGATGACCGCCAGTAACGCAAAGCGCTCGATCTCGACGGTCTCACGGAAAAATAGGGGACTGTGAAACGTCTAGAACTACTACTACTACTTCAATACATTTAGTTTTCCCTTTCATGTCAAATTTGTTAATTCCAAAGCGTTATATAACAAATTTAACGCTCTAACTTGCACAAAACAGAAAAATCGTAAAGGATTCTGGTAGTAGTGGTAGTGATAGTCAAAACACGTCATCACGCATATTGCCCATTTTCCGGTCAAGTGTAGGCCATCTATCCGTAGCAGCATCGGACATATGCAACCGTCTTTCAGTACAATAAACGATTATTCAATCGAATAACTTTGCCAAATCGAGATCGTGCACCAAGGAGGAAGTTTGCTGCGCGTCCGGCTGATTTCCCCTTGAAGAGTTCCTTGAAGTACTGGCGCACTTTCGTAAGTAGTTTCCTCAATTTTCTCATCACTGCTAAGATCGAACTCATCCACAAATTTCTCATCTGCTGTATCATCTTCTGTTGGAGCATCCACTGTTTCGGTGCCTTGGCACTTGCATGTTGCGCAGAAGTGATGGTGACCGGGTTGTCTAATGCGACCCACTCTCTCTGGTGCAGGAATTCTGGTAGAGTACCAGTGTCAATGGATGCAACAACAATCACGTTGTTAACTGTCACAAAATGACCCACAAATGGTGTAATAATTTACCATTATGTCTAAAGACTTCTAAATATAAACTTTTATTGACCTTTATGTCTTCCTGTGTTTTGTTTTGCGTATCATATCGAAAGGAAAGCGCAAAAAACTCTACCGCAATACTGTAAACAATCATATTTCACGGAATACCGTCATAAAATACCGCATACCGCAATGCTAGACGATACCGCAATGCCGCACGCAAAAATTTAAATTACTGAAATACCGCATTAAAAAAAGCCCAATACCGCAATATCTTAAACCCCCTCCAACAGATGAAATTCATTGTGCATGATGATTTCCTCTTAAATAATTATTGCTTCAATGGAAAATATACAAATAACTTGTCAGCTTTTTTTTTGAAGATAATTCATGAATTCAAAAGATGCACAACCCTGACACACTTGTCTCTTTATCATCACTTAAAAATGAATGAATAATTTAATAAACACATAGACAGGGAGACAGATAAAAGAAATGAGTGTCGTTCGCGGTTAGGTGTTTCCGATTAAAACAATTCCAATCTTTTTTCACGTAAAATGGAGATAGTTACCTAACTAAAATAATAGAATAAATTGTGTGACTGTTTTGCTGACGTCAAAGCTAACCTTAGGTCACGGTTGGACCTGACCAAGTAATCAAATTCACAGTTTTGTCATATCGTGGTCGACTGTCAACTGAACTGTCCGCCGATTCGACATTGATTCGGTTTGTAGCGGAGCGTTAACAAGATATGTCCATTTCTTTCAGTATAATTCTTCTATGTTTCTTCTTTTTATCGAGCCTTATACGGAGATCCAAAGGTATGTTCTTAGAGCACTTAGTTTGTTATGTGAAACCCCAGAATTTATGTGCTGCTTGGCAGATGTTTGAGTCACTTTCATTTGTAACCATGGCGGAATAAATATTTCTTCGTAGCCGGTTAAGTTATGGGTACAGTACAAAGCAAGGACGTGGTTATCTGTTAATGCGGATTTTTCATGTCTCCGAGGAGAATCTAACTATAAAACTAATTAGTTTTGAGTCAGAATGTGCTTTTCGAGCATTAATCAATGCTTGAATTAATCAGTGCATTAATCAATATTGTTTCCAAAGTCCAAACACCAGTGGTAGTGACTGCGATACCCGCCGATAAAACTCACTTTAAGAACTTACATTTTGTCACGATCAGCTATAGAATAACTCGATCCATCTTTTCTTGAAATATACTACATTTTTTTGGCGTTATTAAATATATCTTATTAACCAAGCGCGAGGGCCGTACTGGGAGAATATCGGCCCGAGGTCTTGACAGTACCGACCTCGCTACGCTCGGTCCGTACAAAAAAGACCGAGGGCCGATATTCTTCCAGTACGGTCCCGAGCAAGCTTGGTTAATAAGAGATCTATTATACGACTGAAGTTCAAAGGGACACAAGTGCAGTATCATTCGAGACCATTCGGGACAGTGTCCGGTCCAATACTTAGAGAATATTGGACCGGCAGTAGAGCATTTTGATTGGTTGATTTTAGTTATTGGCCCTCTGACTGCCCGAGTCGTGTAATAATAAGTGTTATTGGTATACAAAAACATTTGAGCTGGCGATCCAATTTGATTATTGAAGGTCCTTTCAATGTTATATGAGACTTGGCTGCGAACAACTCGGCGACCTTTTCAATGCTCTAATCAGTGCAGAGATGATTTTCGGACATGCATTCATCGCTAATCTTAGCCAAGCCTGGATTAGCATTGCTCTCGTCACTTTAAATCAACAGCTAAAGTCGTGTTTTGATTCCTTTGATTTCTTTAAGTACATTTCATGGTTATAAATATATAGTTAAGTGTACGATAAGGACGTGATGAAAAGACCAACTCTTGACTGTTCTATATGTAAATAGCTTTTTAGTTTTTAATTTTTTACCTGAAGAAGGCCGAACGGCCGAAACGTCGTGCATTAAACTCGTCCAGCACAGTCAAGAGTTGGTCTCTTGTTACATCCTTATCGTACACTTAACTACAAATTCACGTCGAGACATTGTATCCTGTGGATCCTCTTACTGGGAGTTCATCGTTAGGTATACCAATTTTACGCTTTATATAGAGTCCGTATGCAAACGGCCGGACTCCATACGTCCTAAACTTTTTGTTTAACCCGCAAATTATTTTCTCTTATTGTTCGTTTTTAGTATTTATAGAACTTATTTTTATACATTCTTGACTTGATAATGACGTTATGTTAAAGTCAAAACGTCGTCGATCTTAGCTTTCTATAGCTTTTTATCGTTTTTAAATTTTACAATGTTATCCAGCAACGTTTTGTCGCAAGTTTCTATCGTCAAAGGATAATACTAAGGGTAATAATTATAATGATAATAATAATTGATATTTGCCAATTAAAACAAAAAAGTTTACTTCAGGGAAAAACCAACTTCTAAGGGTAGTTCTTGAAAATTGAATATGTAGATAACTGTCTCGTTGATAATGCATAATCGTGATCATAGAAATAGTAATAATGGTGATGATAAAAACAAAAATATGGATAATAATGACAACGATAAGCCATAATCAATTCCATGTTGAAATCTAACGCTATAAATAATTGTGCGAAAGCTGCCCATAGTATGTGATTGCGTAACTTGAAGCTATGTTCATGGGAAGTTTTTAAAACCAAGATTTCCGCACACTCATGACAGAACATCAGATAAAAATGGTGATAAATGATAATTTTAATGACAGTAAAACTTTTGATGGTAAAATAAAAAAAAAATTGAATTATTTTACTTTTTCTTTGACAGGTGCTATGATTAAGATACCCACGAGTGCTACCATGAATGTTACCGTAAGAATCCACCAGAGATACTTACTAGCGTGCTCTGCATTCAGCGATCAAGAAAGTGTGAAGGATATTGGTTGGTATCGTTGCACTACCAACGATTGTGAACATGAATGGGACAAACATCGGATAGCGCATGTTCAAAATATGAGAGAGACAATTTCAGATAACCCAAACTTTGAGGTCTACACCAACGGAACTTTAGTTATTAAGAGGGTTCTACCAGTGGATGATGGAAAAGTGTTTATCTGTATTGCCAACAGAAAGTATGTAGGGAAAAAACAATCCAACACGAACCTCAGTGTTGCCAAAGGTGATGTGTTTATAAGTGTTATATAACAATGATAATGATAATGAGAGGAATAACAATAATAATAATGAACATTTCAAGAGGTGTTTCCTCTTGTCACGGTTACCAACTAGAAATGCAATTTGTAATGTTTTTTTCGGGAGGGAAGATAACTGGAGAACTCGGAGAAAAACTCGGAACAAAGACGAGAACCAACAGAAACCCACTAATAACGTCAGGGGTCCGTTTATAGAGAGTCCTGTTTACTTAAAAGGCCCGTAAAAAATTATTTTCTCATTCAAGATGGGAGTTTTGAACATTTTACAATAAAACTGTCAGCTAAAGAAACAAATTGGACAGGTGAGGGTGCTAGAACCTGCTTCTCTATTACTTAAGTTTTGATATTAGAATATGGCTTTTGGCCCTTAAAGTTTTCGGGACTTTCGCGAAACGGGCACCAGGTTCGAGAAGTGAATACGGGTTACAGCGATGGGAGACGAGCGCTCTCACCACTGAGCCATCGCTCTCTCTCGTTTGCATTAATTCTATCGTAACACTGCGGACGCTGTTTCTTTGAATCTATGTTTCTCTTCCTATCAATATTCGTTTTTTCTTTAGAAGCGCCACAATTACAACTAGAGAGTCCTAAAAGGCTTCACATAATTGAAGGAATGGACCTTCATTTGGATGCTAGAGTCCAAGGCTATCCTTTCCCCAGGGTTACTTGGATTCATGGTGAGAATCTCCTCAAGAGTACACCGAATGTCGATTCGGAAACAAGTCTTAAAATTCGCAACGTCACTGCATCTGAAAGCGGAAATTACACCTGTCTCGCCGAGAATCTATTTGGACGTGTTTTCTTCACCGTAAACGTTTACGTAAAAGGTATTGATCTTTTTTGCCGTGAAGCTATAGCTCCAGGAGAGTAGATGTAGATAGGAAAGAGAGACGAAAAGAAAGTTGTATGTATGTGGTTTGCATTGCGTTGCAGTTTTTGTTCTAAACATTAATTTCCGTTTATTGTTTTTTGGTTCGCTTGTTTGTTTTTCTTTCATTCTCTTTAGTTTTGTTTTTCTGTTTGTTTGTTTGTTTGCTTGCTTTTTTCGTTTGCTTTAAATCCAAACCTACCACTCATTCAGACGCATCCAATTATTTTTTTCCTCTGTATCTAGGTCAGCCGGGCACGACGACCACAGAACCAGGTAGGTTCTCCCGCTCTTTAACCTTCTCAGATGACCCAAAAGTACTGAATAGGATTCCGAGAACTTCTCAAGTTCCATTATTGTCAATCGAAAGCGACTCGTCTTTATCAATTTGCTAAAAAAAAATCAATTGCTGATTATGGTAGTATTTGAAGAATATCTGATGCTGAAGTCTTCGCATAAATCTGTTTTCAGTTGATATTGCAGAGGTGCTATCTATGAAAATTATCTCTAGAGCAAATTCAGCCTTGAGCAAAATTTCTGATATCTTTTTCAGTCTCGAAAGAACTGGCTTGGTTGGAAAATCTATGAATATACGGGTTTAGTCAATCACAGCATTCTATAAATTTGACATGACTCTTTAGACCTCTATAAGATATGAAAAGTATAATAAGTGTTTACTTTGTCATTTTCTTATGACCTTAGACATCCAGCCTTCATCTTCTCCATCGCCATCAGGTAAGCAGTAGGTGTACCTGTTCAATTTTCCCATATTCAGTTTTGGAGCAGATTTTAACTGTGTGTCGAAAATCATATAGGATCGCATTGATTTTCATCAGTCGCTTATTTCGCCACCAAGACCTCTATTGCTTGTTCAAATTTTAGCGTGACGTAACGAAAATTAAAAAGTACGGAATTATCAGTCCTTTTATGACTTTAGTTTAGTTTGTTATTAGAAGAGTGGAAAACTTATCTTTTTTAAAACTTTCAGTTTGATAAGGCTTTTCGTTTTGAGATAAAGCAAGGTTAACCCTCTAAGCTTTTGTGTGACAAGATATAAAAATACATACATACATACATACATACATACATACATACATACATACATACAGAGGTTAATACATAAATACATAGGTTAATTGACCACTCCCCATGGGGGCTTTCAGGGCCAACACCCACCCTTCCCACCCCAGGGGAGGACATCCACCACATAGTACTCGCGTACGTGGGAAATTAACGTCTCCTACCCCTAACCCTGCAGGAGACGGGGCCTACGGTTTTTTCGTCCTTATCCAAGAAGACTAGAATATCTATCCATTTCTTGTTATAGAAAGGTAGCAAATTCTTCTCAGTTATTTTATGACCATGAGTATTGGTCTGGCCGGGGCTCGAACCCTCGAACTCCCGCGCAACACAATCCGGCGCACTAACCAATTGAGCTGTATTCTGCGCACGGAGCAAAATAGCGGCCAAGAATGCTGTTTCGCACTCTAAACAGTCCCTTTATGAGAATAAGTACTCGAATAGATGTTTATGTTTCAGAAGACGACTACAGGCTCGTTATGAGGGTCTGGATGGTGTTAACTGACAACTGATAAATGGCCAAAATTTTAACTCACAACTGACAAATCACTGAAAATCTAACTGACAACTAACATTTGTGGTGAGCTTTTACTGACAGCTGACAAAAGATCGGATCGCCATAAATATCCTAAAAACTGTATATAAAATATGGGTAGTTGATGCATTTTGTCCAATAAAAGTACGTTTTTCATTGCATATCAGTAGGAGTACGACAGAGTGTCATATTTTTACCGCATGGATCACCCACATCAAGGTCATGTGTCACATATCGGTTATATGATCTTTGATACCCAACTCGATTTTCGAATTCAACTCTGCGATTACTGTCAATGTTGGTATTTTAAAGGCTGTTGTAAGCTTTTATCAAATTGATTCGGAAACGGCATTTTAGCGTCTGGGAATGTGACACATGTCAAATTTTTTGAAGACAGTATTGTTGAAGCGGCAATTGCTGAGATGCGAACATACACAGACAAATATGACACGGACTCAGAAAACGACTTTTCTGATCGAGAGGATAAAGAGATTGCCTTAATAACGGTTTCTAGATCCAGGTGGCCAATTCGCGCCCGTTTTTCACTTGGATTTCTAAGGTACTCTTACATTAGATATATCTAATAACCTAATTGAAAAGTAGACAGAAATGCCAATTGCAATCGAAGTATTGTAAAACAAAACATTAAAACAATATATGTTGGAAGGAAGATTGTCTTTCTGACGATCTTCTTTCCAGTAATAGGGTCGAAAAGTAATAAATAACTTGCCAAGGTAATTATTAACAGTCATTCAACTGACAACTGACAAATGGCCTAAAACCTAACTGAGAACTGATAATTGGCCGAAATTTTAACTGACAACTGAAATTTGTACCCCTTATCCAGACCCTCCGTTAACACGATGAAATGTCTTTGTTAGCTTGCAGCCGCCATATTTGTGCCCCTCAGAGGACCACATACGAGGCGTTTCCATACAAAGCCCAATCAGTTTGAGTAATGCATTTCTTCGAATATCTTCCACACGAAACATCGCGCAGACCTGAATCTTTGCGAGGCTGTTTGACTTTTCATCTTCTTTTTTTATTTTGATTCTTGACTTTATGTACAACTTGCTGAATGGTTTTCATCGTGGTGCGACAGTGAAAACCGGCAATTTGTTAGCTAGAGTTGAGTTACGGCGGAACTCAACTCTAGCCGTAACCTGCTTAGTGCCTGTTTCCCTCCGGTTTACACCCTCATTCCCTTTCCTGTCCCTCCCTCCTGTCCCCCTCTCTCCATGTGTGTGTGTGTGTGTGTGTGTGTGTGTGTGTGTGTGTGTGTGTGAAAGAGGGGGTGTAGGAATGGGGTAAGGCAGTGTGTTGAAATAGAGGGAAGTGAGGAACACACACACACACAAACACACACACACAAACACACACACACACAAACACACACACACACACAAACACACACACACACAAACACACACACACAAACACACACACACACACACACACCTCCAGCCCCTTCTAATAGAAAAACAACTTTGGTTCTACCGATTGAAGGCATTAGCGCTACCCCTTTGGCTAATTTGAAAACATGACCTTCTCGACAGGAAAAGAATCGCCATGTGCCCCTACCCCTGATTAGAATGAAGGCTAGTTTGCAGAAAGACCGGAACTGAACAATCTTTCACGCTAAATAAATGAAGAAACGAGGAAATACAATATTGAAAGTGATATCTTGAAGTGATTATAACTGCTGAGACTTTAATCCATTATGAGTCATTCACTTAACTACAATTAACCTATCTCATATTTACTTCCTTGTTTTATAGGGGGCTCAAGTTTCACTGGCTGGAAAATTGCTGTAGTGACGGTCTGTGTTCTGTTGGTAGTCATAGTAATTCTCTACATTGTCAAGAAAAAGTGTAGACCAAAATTGCGGTTAAAAAGGTTCTTCCGGAGATACATATCTAGTGAACAGTAGAGCTCTTAATTGTTACGAATCATTTCGATGCCATTTTCTGAATATTTTAGGAAAGTGTGTAAATACATTCATTTTCCTGTCTATATTTATTAATTTGATCATTAGCTTTTTTCTTTTATTATCCCTTTTCACTAAGAAGGGTACAAATAATGTGCGAGTCGAGCACAGACTTTACAGCTAGCTAGTTGTCATTGGGCATTGCTCATTCAAGCTATTATTCTCTAAATTATAAAACTGTTCAATTAAGGATTAATTTGGATCCTTTGAACCTATTCAAATAAGTCGTTTATCGTACAGTTTAAAAAAAAAAGTTTAAGAATAGTAGCTATGCTGACATTTTGAGATGAACTACCAGCTATACAACCGAATGGAATTCAATTCGGTCTGTAATCAGACGAGCCGGATTACTGATTAATCAAAATTCGACAAAAGAAAACAAAACAGCGGTAATATGTACCATTCAACCTAGAATTTCTGTTATCATCATCTTTTTCATCATCTTTAATAGTAACATCCTCGTGAGGTTTTTCAGAAACTATATACAAAATTTTTACAATTTATAAAACATAAATAACGATAAAACTTATGGTCAGAATTGAGATAGTATTCCACCAAGTTCTAGAGCTTATAAAGGAAATGTCTGCCTCAATAGTGTGTCTTGTAGAGCGCGCTTGAAAGATGCCAATGAGGCGTTTTGCCTAAGTTCTTTATGCAAGTTATTCCATATGTTGGCGCCTCTATAGGAAAAAGTGTGCTGGCCAGTAGCCGTTTTGTATAGCGGAATCTGCAAAGAGTTCCGCGTACGAGTGTTACGAGTATGTATATTTGATCGCTTGGTAAACTTACTCGTTAAGTATTGAGGCGCAAGACCGTTCTGACATTTAAAGGTCGGAACGGAGTCTCTATAAAATAATTGTTCTTTACCAGGAAGCCAAGCTCACGAAGCAAAGGTGTTACATGGTCGAACTTCCTAGAGTTTGTTACGATCTTACTGGAAAAATTTTGAATAGATTGTAATCTGTTTATATTCTGGAGTGTGGTATGTGACCATACAGATGAGCAATAAAGCATCTTACTAAAAACTAGCGACGTTATTAACAACTCCAGTGTTTTTTTTGTCGAAGCTCCTTTTGACTCTATTAACCTGACAAAGCCTTGCGAAACAAGATGACACTACACGTGAAATGTGGTGATCGTAGGTCAGATGGGGGTCAAGAAAGACTCCTAAGTCCTTGGCAGAGTCTACTGGCCTCAGTGTTTTACCCAAGAATACCCTACTAGGATCTTCCGGTAACCTACTTAAAATCTGTCTAGTGCCAAGGTAAAGGACGGTTTGGTTTTATCGGAGTTGATAAGTCGATAGTTCTCACAACACCATTGGGCTACACTGTAAAGATCTTGTTCGAGCTTTTCAATGGTAGCATCAAGCTCACCGAGCGGAAATGACATGAATATTTTTGAGTCATCTACATACGATTCCAAATTGCAGAAAGTCGGTGCCGTGGGTAAATCATTGAGATAAATGCAGAACAACAATAGTGATAGGATTGCGTCTTGAGGGACTCCGTGAGTTATAGGTAGAGTGTCGGAGTAGGCGGAGCCGATTCTCACGTATTGCCTGCGACCAGTTAAATAGCTCTTGAACCATTTGACAGTAGAGTGTGTGGCTCCAATGGTGAAAGTTTGTGGAGCAGTCTAGCATGGTCTATACTGTCAAAGGCGTTGGATAGATCTAATAGTACTGTTATCAGCTTTTTATAGTATAGTGCTGTTATAGTATAGTGCTGTTATCAGCTTTTTATCCATAGCTTCGAGTATGTTATCCGTAAGCAGGATGTATAAGATCTCTGTAGAATGAGCATTTTTATTGCCGCTTTGGTGTGTGGTGAGGCGATTGTTCTTTGTGAGAACAAATAACAATCTTTGTAAACTTTGCGCTGAACTCATTCAAGACAATCACTTCAAGGACCTTTGAAACTACAGCTAGCATAGATATAGGTCTACTTGTTAGCAGCTTTCTCATGGTCACCGTCTTTAAGAATTGGGATCACCTCAGCCTCTTTCCAGTTGAAAGGAAATGTACTAGTAAGTATGGAACAATTGATGATGTCAGTGAAAGGGCCCAATGTGACAGGGAGACAGTCTTTTAATACACGAGCGCTGATCTTGTCCGGTCCCGGCGATTTATTCATTGGGAGAGATGTTATAATTTGGCGAACCTCTTCAAGTGATACTGTCCTTAAATTGAATGATTCCATATCTATGGAAGTATCTATGTCAGTTTCGGATGAAGAATCTCGGACTGTGATGTCATGTTCTTCCCTCAGGCGCTGTACTGCGTCAGCGGCATTTAAGCCGACTTTATCAAAAAACTGATTGAATTCGTTGGCTAAAACTGTCAAATCCTTTGTAAAGGCAGGTCTCTCCCTATCTTTAGAGGGGATGACACGATTGATAATTTTCCAAAGTGAGCCAGAGTTGTTTTTATTGGCTGTGACCTCTTCAAAGGTGTAATCTCTTTCAGCTTCTTGTAGCGTTTCCTTGACCAAGTCACAGGAATGTTTGAAATTTATCCACTCGGTGTCATGGCGAGACTGACTGTATTGCTTCAGGAGGCAATCGACGTAATTACCCGCGTTATCCTGCCTTTGGTTATTTTGTACTTTATAAAAACTTGTATGACAAGTCAGCTTCGCTTGCGTATTGAATGCGTCGAAAGAAAAATTAAATTGAAGGGAGCCCGAGATAAAGTTTACGGAAGGGAAATAAAACAAGTCAGTGTCAAGAATAGTAGAATGGAAGAGAAAAAGGAAAGTGGAATTTATTTCATTTCCTTTATTTTACTATTTAAATACATTTTTAAAAATCAGTTTGCTCTTAACTTCGGCCTTATTGCAAGGAAATGAAATGGGTCTGTTTACGGAGGTTTAAGATTTAAAAATATTGCTGATCGAAGTAACTGCGTGTAAGCCACTGAAAAAATCTCTCATTGTATCGGCTGTTTGTTTGTTTGTCTGTTTGTTTGTTTGTATTTTTCCAGTCTTTCAACAAACTTCGTTACTCTTCTGAGTGGTCCGCTAAGTTAGTCACGCAACTAAATCTATGCTATTTTCTTTGAGAACCGGCTCAACCCTTATCTGGTTTCTTCAATTACCTATCGTCCATTGACTACGTCAGTTTTGTCGATTCATTTCGCGTTCGCGGTAATAAGCCATCGAAAAAAGGTCGTCCTGCACGACGAAAAGCTGCGGTATTATCTGACTGACTAGATCAATTTAAAAGTATGGAATCAGTTAAAGACAGCTTTGAGATTTAGTAAGAAAGCGAGCAACGAGTCGTCTACAATGCGTTTGGTGGAGGGTCGAGTCCCTCTTATACCTCTCGTTTTTGTACACCTTTGTGTCCAATAATCCAATTTCTGAGTGATATTCCAGCCGTGTACAGAATCAAGAGATTATTACCTCTTGACAAAATGTAACTGCTTGCGAGTCTTACAGATTATTACATTCTGTCTTTGGTTTGTTCAACAGACAGGAAACATCGTCAATATTACTCTTCCTACATAGCGATTTAGTTGTGCTCTGGGTGATAATACCCTATTTATATTTTTTACCATGAAAATATTATCAAAAGCTACTGCTGTTGTGGTATTCTTTGCCGTATCCGTTCGGTGAGTAAGAGAAAGTTAACGATAACTGTTATATCCGGGTATCCCTGGATATTGCAGGCTTAGCTGCCAAGCCTAAGGACGTTTAGATACGTTGGATCTGTTTACTTTCGGTTTAAACTCTTCTTGTATATTTGAGTCTGTTCCAGTTACAATAAACACTTTGCGACACCACAATAACAATGGCGGTTAAACATGGCACTTAAAGCTTATATATTTTTTTTCTATTAATAATTACCATGAATATCGTACCTTTAAATAACAAACAAATTATCTTTATGAGGTTTCCCCGGCAGATGAGTCGCTTTCCTCAAGGGAACAATTCCGAGAATTTGCCACCCCTTTTTGGTATTCGTATTTCTCGGAACTTGGTTGAAAACGATATGTTTAAATATTGCATTTTCGGTTTGTTACGATTCTTGCCATTACACGAAGTCAAGGAGCAACGAGAATGAGGGTTATAGGATTTTACCTCCCATTCTTCGTATCAGTAGTGCCAACTCTCGCAACAGGTAAGTTCAGTGATCCAGAAAACCGCAATTGATTAGGAAACTTCGAACGCATTTAAGGGTAACAATAAGGAATCAAATCGTAGCAAAACGCGGAAGCGACGGCAAGACTTATAGACTTGATTTAGCTGGGGTGAGACGTGAATTATAACAGCAAAATTTCCTATGCTCCTTATTGTCAAGTTCAATAGTGATTACAGACGCAATTGGGACACAGACAATCTTCAAATAATCAATGGCATTACCATTACCGTTTGTTTAGGCTCATTGAAAGGATGTTGCAGTGAACGCACTTTACTCGTCGGTACTGAGACATATTCGCCGACTGATGCTCTGAGTTTACTCACTCAAAGCAGAATTCACGGTTCAAATTGCTCGATTTCATTTGTATCTGCTATAACCTCTTAAAAATGGCCATGCTTTTCTTCAATTAATAATAGTTGTAATGGAGTTTTTATCTTTCGCTTTGGGTTATGGTCGATGTACTTCCGTGAGGAGATCTTCTAGTAAATAAAAATAGAAAGAAAACGAGAAAAGAAAAATCATCGACGTATTGTTTTGTTGGTTACTCCTCGAGCAGGCTTGAAGTAATATATCAAAAAACTCGTGCTTCGAGTGCATCAGGGGTTCTAAACGCCGCTAGATAGAAACACAAGGCCGCAGGCCGAGTGCTTCTGTTGTTATGAGGTGTTTGACTGCGACCCCTTATGAAACACTAAGCACGAGTTTTTGAGATGACTTCTCAAATGGAACAATAAAAAAAATATGCAGTGATTCATTTTTATGGCTACTGCCTCCTATGGAGGCGAAGCTATAATGTTTTCCTTTTGAGTGAGTGTAAAGATAGTATGCGAACGACCTCTTCACCCACAACGAAGTCTACTGCGTTTTACGCAATACTCCTCGCCCTCTGCTTTTGTCTGTTTTGGAACATATTAAGTCGTTCAACGCTTGCTGACGGTTCCTTCGGATCGCTTCGAATGTTACTTGGAATTAGCACGTGATCATACGGTTTCCCGATGCTATTTGTTTCTTTCGGACTACTTTAGAAAATGAAAAACACCTCAAAATTACTTAACTATGGCGTTACTGAAATGTCTCAAAAGGTGTCTTTGACGCGTCGTGGAAACTTACGGAAAATATTCCTCTTTCAAGCGATAGTATTTTACCGTTCAAATCAGCGAATTGTGCCAGTAGATCCAAAGATATAATTTTTTCACTTTTCGCGGTGACACCACAAAAGATGATAAACATATCAAAATAATTTCACAGTGGCGTCTCCAGCACGAAACTGAAAAAAAGACCTTTCCTCTCAGAAATATCTAAATAAGTTTGATCTGCACATCGTGGAAACCTTGAAGAAATATTTTTGATTTATTCGAGAAGAGAAAATTTAACCATTTCAATCAGCGACAAATGCGCAGAAGAGCCGCTAAATTTGGGAAGCAAGCAAAGTCCGCAATACGATACCCCGAGTTTACCTTAAACGCTGGAACGGAGGAACGGCGGAAAGGCGGAATAACCCTCAACGCGGAATGCTTTGTTGTACGAGTCTCACAAAACTGGAGTCGCAATAAAATAGGAACATAATTTATATTAACAGGAAAAATCAAAGTTAAAATTGAAAGCCTAATTTAATCATTATAGTGAAACCTAGAGAATAGACCGATGGGGAACAATGTGGTTCTTGAGCTAGCCCTTGTAAGTAATCATTATTATTGCAGTTGTTACCATTATTATTATTATTATTATTATTATTATTATTATTAGTTTTAGTATTATTATTGTTATTATTAATATTATTTTTTTGATTTGATTATTAGTTACCTTTAAATTATCGGCGGTTGTGTCAACTAGTCACTACATTCTTGCTTCATCTTTCCTGTAACGACCGCCAAGCGGTCTATTGTAGCTTGGGGTTAACAGCGCATGCTTCCGTTTAGACAAAGAAACAATTAGCTCGTTTGTTTGATTTTCCGCTCTTAAAGCACGTACTCTTTTAACCTCAAGAAGTAGTTTCCGCGCGTTCATATCGAACACAAGAAAAATAAGATAAAATATCCAAGAAAACAAGCAACAAGAGGCAAGTGCAGGACCGATATGTTAGTTAAGAAACTTCTTGTTTAGTTTTTAGTTTTCAATCGAGTTTAACTATCTAGTCCTTGTTTTTATTTATTGTAGATAATTGTTCGTCTTAGCCAAAGTTCACAAAGCGATATTTCGAAACAAGAGTAGAGTATCCTTAAGTTAGCATTACCTTTTTTCCCTTTATGTACAGTTAGTCGTTAACGTAGCTTTCTGCTGCAAGAGCCTCGCTACTAGGCCATCGTTTCTCGTTTAGGTGTTTCATAAAGGATATTCTAATGAGTTTCAGCGTTAAAGCTACTCGCACGGAAAACTGCCACGTGTTTTCTCTGAACTGTTGCCTACCTTTTAGTTTCTAGCTTATATTTTATGTTAATCGAATTTCAGTTTACGGCTTTCAACGGTTAAACAACCTTGATGTCAAGGGAATAAAGAAGTTTATTCTACATCTGAGAGCTTAATCGTGAGCCCGTAAGGTAGTCCTTCAATTTATCGAAATCAAGACAGGCTACGACACCTCTTGAACCACTTGAGAGTCGCCCGACGTCACATTTCACTTGCGGAGCAAGCCAGACTGGGATGGGGCAGCAGTAGCCATATGCAGTCGGTTATTTCTCACCTTCGATTCGCGGGCGTCCTTCGAGAAAAAAATTCGTACGTGCGCTAGTTTCACGAAGAACCTAACAAACTATGCATTAGAAGAAAGCTTGATACATGCAGTTTACGTTAAAAATATAATTTGGGCAATTTTTTTCATTTAGGGAGTGTCAGGAACAGGTAAGGCGTGAAACGACCGAGGGTCCTTCCGGCTATAGAATCTATCGGGCATCGAATATCGCAGAACGAGCAAAATGGCTGCGCAGTCTTGTTCGCAAGGCATCAATCAACAACAGTGTGTTAAGCTTTTCCGATATTCTGATTCGTTGTCTAGATATCTGCATTTAAAGTTGGAGTAGCGTTAAATATGCGAAACGTGTTGCGTGGATGGACACCTTGTGAAAAATATTTAAAATATCAAAATTCCTGACATACTTTCGTTCGTCATTGTTCCTAAAATATTTGGGCGAGATTTCACGAAAATCGGTCAAATCTGCGGGTGTTACTAAAACTGGTTACGGGGAACGGACAATAAAGAACGTGGAACAGGGAACGGGGAACGGGGAACAGGAACGGAGAATGGAGAACGAGGAACGAGGAACGGAGAACGGGGAACGGGGAACGGAGAACGAGGAACGAGGAACGGGGAACGGAGAACTAGGAACTGGGAACGGGGAACGGAGAACGAGGAACGGGGAACGGGGAACGGGGAGCGGGGAGCGGAGAACGGAGAACGGAAAATGAGAAACGAGGAACGAGGAACGGGGAACGGAGAACGGAGAACGGAGAACGGCGAACGGAAACGGAGAACGGGGAACGGGTGTACAGCGGTAACCTAACTAAGAATTCAAAATGGCGGAGTAAACGATTTTTACAAACACTGGTTTTATCGCTAGGTCGCCGCTTGCAGCGAAATTAGACGACTCGCTTTTATTTCACTACTGCCCAGGCGAAGCCACGAAGCCTAGTATTCCGGGGCGAGAATTCGAAGTCGACGTTTCTGCAATGGCTGCCACCATTTTCTCTGACGTCTCTGTTTGTTTTTCCTTCCTGAAATCTGCATCTTTTGGCAGAGTTTGGGTATGTTGCTTGTTTGCATTGCCCAACAGCATTTTTTGCAAATAAGTAGCAAGGAGGTAACATCTTAGATTAACAGAAATGAGCTAGGAAACGTAGTAACCGCCTAGTTATTAAAATTACTACATGCAGATATCTGCTTACCTTACCGCAAAATAACATCAGGAACATATCTTTGTGTTGACCCATAAACTTCCATGTAAACAATAGAGAAATCAAACGCATTGCTAGGTTGTAACAGTGAAAATATTGGAGATAAACTTCATTACCTTGTAGTACAATTACTCTATGAATATAAGAATAAATGCCGCGAGCTTGTAGTTTTGAGTTGATTGTTCAAATGTTGTGCATGAATTGTAAGATATTCACCTCTCCGAGGATTTGATTTTTATGCAACCTGCAATGTGTGCCAGACAAAAACTGAATTTATGNGGAGCGGGGAGCGGAGAACGGAGAACGGAAAATGAGAAACGAGGAACGAGGAACGGGGAACGGAGAACGGAGAACGGAGAACGGCGAACGGAAACGGAGAACGGGGAACGGGTGTACAGCGGTAACCTAACTAAGAATTCAAAATGGCGGAGTAAACGATTTTTACAAACACTGGTTTTATCGCTAGGTCGCCGCTTGCAGCGAAATTAGACGACTCGCTTTTATTTCACTACTGCCCAGGCGAAGCCACGAAGCCTAGTATTCCGGGGCGAGAATTCGAAGTCGACGTTTCTGCAATGGCTGCCACCATTTTCTCTGACGTCTCTGTTTGTTTTTCCTTCCTGAAATCTGCATCTTTTGGCAGAGTTTGGGTATGTTGCTTGTTTGCATTGCCCAACAGCATTTTTTGCAAATAAGTAGCAAGGAGGTAACATCTTAGATTAACAGAAATGAGCTAGGAAACGTAGTAACCGCCTAGTTATTAAAATTACTACATGCAGATATCTGCTTACCTTACCGCAAAATAACATCAGGAACATATCTTTGTGTTGCTACTAATGACTAATTGCTGTTATTATTGTAGGGGAAAGGGTTTTTTCATGATCCGTGAAGGGCCCTTTCGCTGTTTTTTTCTCTCGTTAAACGTGATTTGGTTATATCGCCATGAGCGCTGAATCACCTTCTCTTCATGGAAATTGCGAAATGACTGGCTTTTTTAACGAAACGTGACCTGACAAGTCACGTAATTGACGAGTAGTAATTCTTAGGTGAACCAGGCTCTTGACAGTGAAAATAATTAACCAAGACTATAC